ATCAGTTAAAAATTTGGCAAACATCCGGTATATATTATATACTGGTGCCCTTCAAAGGGTTAAAGCAATCGGAACAGTTGCCTATGTGGAAATTCCAAAAGCTACAAGAAACTCTAAGCTTGATCTAAAAGCTACGAAGGGCTGATTAATAGGATACAGTGTAAGAACAAAAGGGTACAAAATTTGGTTGGAAAATGAATAAAAAGGAGTAGAAGCCCCAAATGCTACTTTTAAAGAGTCAGTTGGAATGCAGAGAAGTTGCAGTGGAGCTGCACTAGGCACCCTTCCTGATTTGGAATCTGAAGAGAGGGTCGAGTTCCAATCTATTGATACTCCAGTTGGCTACTTCCCTGAAATAGAGGAAAGAATTGATACCAGTGTACCCTCTTCTATACCTAAGCACTGACACTCAATCCACATTGAGACAGGTAACTTGGCTTCATAAACCTGTTCCAAGGCCAGACGGCACTCGTACGGATGTGTACTATTTTGAGAAGGGGTCTAATCAAAGACTACGATCGCCAAATGATGTGGAAAAGTATTGCACTGAGAATAATATTCAATATGATCCTACTTTGTTTGATTTCAAGGGAAGCAATACTTATAGTGGTGAAATCGACTCAACCTGCACTCCCTCAACGTCATATACCCAAGACAGCTGCTGACTAAAGGTTTCAATTCCGAACAATTATAACCAAGGAATGAAATCCACAGAAAAGGATAAATGGATAGAGGCGATGGAAGAGGAAATGGCCAACATGCGAAAACATAAGATATGGCATCTTGTTCCACTTTCTGGAGACAAGACTCTACTAGGTTGCAGGTGGATCTTTAACATTAAACGTGACAAATTTGGAAACATTGTTCGTTTTAAAGCTCGTTTGGTGGCTCAGGGTTATCAGCAAATTAAATACGATACCTATGATGAAACCTACTCTCTCTGTAGTCCTGTAGTCAACTTTTCAGTAATAAGGCTCTTTTTCTTTCTCCTAGTTGCACACCTTGGATGGGAAAACATAAGTGCGACGTAAAAAGTGCCTACCTCTACGCTCCTTTATCTGAGGAAATTTACATGCCCCAACCTCAGGGTTTTGTGGAGTGAGATAAAGAAACTTTTGTGTGTCGTTTAGATAGGGCTTTGTATGGTCTGCATCAGAGTGGACAATTATGGTATGGTACTATGCGTTAGATAGAACACTATGTAACCTAGGGTTTACCAAGTTTGATTGGTGTAATTGTGTCTGTCAATTTAAAGAGTTTGTCATTCTGTTGGTTTATGTTGATGACATTGTTGTGTTCGGAAAAAGTGAAAAGGGAAAGGGATATTAAAAATTCTAAGTTCACATTTTGATTTGAAAATTTTGGGTAAAACAATAAATTTCTTGGGTGTAGAATTTGAATATGAGAACAATAGCGTCCTAATTCATCAGCAATTATATATAGAAGACATAGTTAACTGATTCAAGTCTTTTAAAATACAAATTACCTCCATCCCAATAGTTAAAAGTGTGAAATACTCAAAGTCAGAGTACACAAGAAAAAACAACTGAGATGATAAATTATCCTTATAGAAATGTTTTAGATGCCTCTTGTTTCTTTGCAATCGTACTCGTCCAGATATAGCCTATGCTGTTAATATATTTTCTCAGTTTCACAGCAATTCTGGTAAATTTCACTGGGAAGGATAACTTAAACTTTTACGATATGTTTCAAATACCAGACACTACAAACTTAAACTGGTATGCAAGAAACTGAAGCTCAATATTCAGATTTGGACTCTGCATTCAAGCAGAGACAATATGGTGTCCATTGGCTTTTGACAAATAGCTTTTTTGGGAGAATCACCTGTATCTATCTTGGCGTACATTTAAAGAAAGGGGAGTGAGTTTGTCTACTATGGAGGCTGAATTTATTTCCATGACTGAATCAGCAAAAGAATTGGTTTGGTTTAAAAACATTTTGGATGAATGCATTCAGTTTAAAATTGCAAGTAACTATGTTTCAAAACCTATATTGTTTGCGGATAACATGGCTGCTATAAGTTTTACAAAATCACCCATTGAAAACTCAAGGACAAAACATATAGATGTGAAGCTATTCTTTATTCGTGACTTACTGAATAGAGAAATTTTTTATCTAAAATATGTTCCAAGCAAAGATAATCTGGCTGGTCCCATTAAAAAACCACTGACTAAACATTACTTAATAAGATTTTGTGGAGAAATTTTCTTATAAAATTTCTTTTTTTGTGTATTTAACTTTAAATTAAGAGTTTGGTTTAGATGTTTCAATTTTTGACTCTTTTGGACTGTACGATTGAAAAAAAAAAAAAAAAAAAAAAAAAAAAAATGATGATGTAAGTCATAGTATGATGAATATTAGATAATGTAAAAATTGTATAGAATGAATGTTGTGTGAATGACCAGAGCCCTGGGTAAATGCATTGAATGTATGATCATACATATGCCTTTGTATTATTTTGTATCATTATGGACTTTTGCATTATGGTAGAACTTTGAAAAATGGGATAAGATGTGCATATCGTCCCCAAAATATCTTGAAAAAAATTTGAATTGAATGGAGTTGTGTATTCTTACATTTATATTTATTTATTCTCGTTTTGAATTTTATAAAAATACTGGCATTCAGTTTTTGTTTGTTTGTTTGTTTGTTTCAGGTTGGAAGTGATGATGTCGAGGGGCATTTGTTACAAATATGACTTATTGTAACCCCTTTTCTGCATCATCTCTCCTCCTTGAAATAATAAGAACGTACTGTTCCAGCCTAATTAATATGCAAAAATGAAACTCGAGGTTACGTCATCTGGAAAGCTGGGTCATGCCGACAGCTGATTGGCTAGCGTGAGATGATGTCGTGTCTGCTTCATGTATAAATATCTCGCATCGCTCTGGCTTGGCCCTTCTTGTTCTTCTTGTTCCTGTTTCCATTCCTCCTTGTGCGCTGTTCCAGTTCTCATTCGGAGATGTTCTTTGCGATGTGTGTCGCCCAGTGTTAAGTGCCTCTTCAGTGCCGTAGTTCCAGGCAATGTTGGTTTTTCCATGGTTAAGCAGCGATAAATCTCAAGTTGTGGTTCCCGGTGAGCAATTGCCATGGGCGGCATCCTGTTCCAAGGTTAAGCGGCGACGAATCTCAAGTTGGGGCTCCCGAGAGCAACTGCCGTGGATGGCATCCAGTTCCACGGTTAAGCGGCGATGAATCTCATGTTTTGGTTTCCGGTAAGCAACTGCTGTAGGCGGTATCATTAATAATAATATAATGGTTGGTTTGAAAATCTATTTATACCCGAGGCTCGGCGACATTTGAATTTGGTTGGTTTACCTGATGACTCAAAAATAGTCCCGATTGTTGACCACTGTTCAGTGCATATTTCACTTAAAGTTTTAGTGAAAGACAATGTATCCGTATTATTCTTCCCTCCAAATTGTACATCTGTCAATCAGCCTATGGATATGGGAACAGTACATGCGCTGAAACGCAAATATAAAGTAGCAGTTTTAAAATCTATGTTAAATTTCTTGAACAATGGCAAAACTATTCAAGACGTCAATGTTGCGTAGAACATCGCAAGATCGTGGGAGGATGGGTCTCCAGATACGTAAAAAATGCTTGAAATCATTTATGGCCAGCTACCATATTTCAAGCTGAGGATGATGAAGATGATAGCCATTAATTCGAAGGTATTGCAAACTAAAGGTGAAATTTTCCAGTTATTGGATTTTGTAAAGAAATGTGGAGAAGCGGTAATAAATAAAGATTATATAACATAAGTTTTTCATTGCAACGACAATGCCCCAATCATCAATCAACGGACGGCAAAATCTGTAGTATGGTTCTAGATCCAGAAAATAACGCTTTCGATAGTGATGAAAGTGACAGAGATATTATTGGAAACGAAAAAATTTTGATTGACAAGTTCGTCGGTATTCTCGACACAGCAATTACAGGACTTGGACAGTGGAACTTTGTAACTGAACAAGAAATTATGTCTGTTTATAGAATTAAAGAGGAAGTATTAGCACAAAAAATCGAAGCAACTTAAACAACTTACATTGAAAGAAATGTTTAATAAAGTAAACAAATAAATATTAAGCTTTTTTTTTATTGTTGTTGTAAATTTTGATACCTTTTAGATCATAATTGCGCTTTATTTTATAAATTACGGTTTCATATTTTTAATTGTATAATTTCTGCATGCCATCTTACCAGATTTAAATTGATGATCTCCAATGTGGAAAAACCCCTAATCCGGAATCACCAAAGTCTCGATGAGTCCGGATTACGGACTTTGTACTGTATATGTAATTCCTTCCACATCACACAGCTTAACATTATGTTACAGTTTTGGATTTTAGTTTATTATGGTTAATTAATCACAAATTACATTGATATTTATTAATATATGCTGGTAAATGCCATTATTATTTTGTATTATTTATCACATTAACCAAAGATATAGTTATTATTAATACTAAGTGGATTTTTCACTTTGACTGTAACTTATACAAACACATACATGCAATAGTTACATAAAACGTTTATTCACATAGTATCAAAACACAGATTAGACAAACAATTTAAATCTTAATAAAGTAAAAAACAATGCAATATCTAAGTCATTCTAAACTACCTGCCTGATTTAGAGATATCTTTCATAATAATTTGGTATCAGTATGCATACAATTTTTTCCAGCTTGAGATACAATTACTTTTAATTGGTATTTATTTATAATCTTAACAAATTCTTTTGAAGTAATAAAAGTAGACATTGAATGAAACAATTTTTAAAGACCAAGAAAGATTTTTATAAGAAGAACTTTTCACTGTTAATTAAACTTATAAATGAATTATATTTGAATACTGTAACTAAGTCACATAAATTGATACAATATACTTATTCACATAAGTTACTATAATAAATTTGTTTGCATAATTAACTTTATTCTTCTATATAAATTCACATTAAAAAAATTTACACAAACCTCAGACTCTTTAATAGTTTCAACTTTAGCAACAAAAGCAAGATGACAAATTTCAGGTTCGATAGAATTGAATCTTTCGCCATTAAAGTTCTTGTAAAAAATATCTGCAGATAACTAAAAATGAAAACTATTTATTTAGTAATAGCTTTTTTTATCATATATTAATATCAAATTACTTATTTTTTATTATATTGCAAATGACCTTGCATAAACTACTAAAGAAAACTATTAATAAATGCACTTACTGAAACAGAAAGAATAAGAAACAGAGAGAGAAATCAAAATTTTCATAAATTTTGCACTAATTCATTCACTACTCATAAAATCCATACGTGACATCTTTTGTATATCAAAACTGAAAAATGTTCTTTTTCGATCAAGGAAAAAAAAAGAGGGGGTTTAATTTAAAATTCCAATATTTTTCCTCCTTAGATTAGAACATTTGGTACTATTCCGATTAAGGGGCCGTAAAAAATTGCAGCGAAAATATATGCGCAAAAGCACCAAATCTAGCAAACGTGCTCATTTAACCACGCGCCAAATCTAGCGAATGTGCTGAAGTGTGTCAATTTGAAAAGTTCTATATTTATAAGTCGGCAATGAAATACTAGCTTAATTTTTTAATTCTTTTCTAATATTGCTATGGGTTTAACAATTTGAGAATTACCCAATGACGAAAAATCTGCAATACAATTTTTTCAAAGAGCAGGCATCATTCATGATAGAAAATTATGTTCGAACAACTACGAGATGAAATTATGCTTTAGCGGTAACTCAGTAGCGAAATGGCGGTGCAGGAAAGAAACCTGTAAGAAAGGATTGTCAAAATTGGTTCGAATGATAGAAAATCCCCTTCCTTACAACCATTAAGTTAATCTATTTTTGGTGTCAGGAGATGACATCTATTGAATTTTGTGAACTCCAGCTGAAGATGAACCACAATACAACTGTAGACTGGAACAGTTACAGGCGTGAAGTGTGTGCCGCAACTTTATTTACTCGGTCTAACTTGAAAATCGGCGAATGGAGCAAAATTATTGAAGTAGATAAAAGCCTTTTCAGTAAAAGAATGAATGACATTGGATGGTTTCTTCCACCACAATGTGTTTTCGGTGGATTATGCAGAGAATCGAATGAAGGTTTTCGCTGTTCCAGAACGATCAGCGAAAACTTTATTGAATGTCATAAAAGAAAATATCGCAGAAGGAAGCATTATTCATACTGACTGCTGGAAATCATACAAATCGGATGAACTGCAAAATACCAGTTTTTTAACATTTTACTGTCAATCACAACTACAATTTTGTGGAACCCAAAAGTGAGTGTCATAGACAAACAGTAGAGCGGCTGTGAGGCAGTGCTTAATGGCATAATAAAAGTCGCACTGCTCCACAGCATTTCGATTATTATTTGTCCGAGTTTATGTACAGATGCTTGCACAAAAAAACTGAAATATTCTCTGCTATGTTGGGACAAAAAAATTTATATCTCCCATTTAATTTCAGTTATGTTTAGCCTTTTGTTTATAAATTATAATTAGAAAATTTTTAAACTAAAACAACAATTTTCAATAGTTATTTATTATTATGTTTCCTTTCTTGCGTTAGGGTTACCGTAATTATTTTTGGCAGCATTGGCATCAACAGTAGTTTGGCGATTTTTTACGGCTCGTACTAAACATGAATTGTACTGAACATTTCAGTTTTATTTATTTCACATTTAAAGACAAAGCAATGATTTTTTGATCAAAATAATTCAATATTAATGACTTATTAGAATTTATTCTCTCATCCTCACTTTTGAGCATGAGAAATTCAAATTTAATAATCAGGCTAATTACATCATTCTCCCATATTTTATTACGTTCTACTAAATATTATTTTTTTTTTCTCTAGTAAAATTAACCTAAACTTTCCCTTATTATGCTTAAAAATACTTCAGTGAGTATCACTAGGTATAGTTAGAAATATTTTCATATAACTTTGAAGTAGAACAGATGGCTGAACTAATTGTGAGACTTGTATCTTCTCTCAACTGTAGTTACACAAAGGCCTAATGTACACTCTGTTTAGCATTAAATGATGAAGACACAGCTATTTTCAAAATGGTAGCATGCTATATCATGTACACCACTACAATGTACTAGGTCATTATCCATGTTCGTTATACTGGAAGAGAACTAATCCACTCAGTAAAATAAATCTTATCATATCTTATTTTATTAAACATAAAAGTTGTTGTGAAGTCATCTCCACAACAACTTTTATGTTTAACAAGTTACAAGGATGCACGTGTCTGCATACAAGCACCAATAAAACTACACTTCTCACTGAGATACAGTCACATTTTTACAGTTAAAGGTACAGTTTTAAATATATGAAATAATAAGCTTCAATAAACAGTTAAAACATACCTTTGGTTGTATAAATTAATAAAATTTGCAATTACTTTGAATGCTCACTGAGATATAGTCACATTTTTACAGTTAAAGGTACAATTTTAAGTATATGAAATAATAAACTTCAATAAAGAATTAAAACACACTTTTGGTTGTATAGATTAACAAAATTTGCAATTACTTTGAACTTGCATTACACAAAACTGCAGAAAAGAGTGGGGCAACTATGTAACACATAACCTATATAATGAAAATCTTTCTAATTAAGAAGGAAAAAAATTACCTGATTTTTAAATTTTATTAGGACCATGTACTGATTTGGCTTGTTTTCTCGAATTATTCTCATATGTTCAATGTCATCACTGGGAAAAAAAAAATTAGATGACAAAGTTTTAGAATTAATGTAGTAAACAAATGATATAAATAATTAAAATTTAAAATAAACAATATGTAATTAATTAAAATGTACAACAAAATACTTTTCTTCAAAAAGAATATTCTACTAAATGGGGAGAAAATGCAGAGGAAAAATTTATTTTTAGTAATTCAGATTTTGAGGGAAAGGAATAAGCATTAATTTTAAACAAATAATACTTTAGCATGTAAATATACTCTTAATTTACAAGTAATCTGTGACACTTCATAGCAATTTACACATTACCATATATAAAAAATAATGCAGTATAAATTCTTTAAAAAATGAAATTGTATGAAACATTACATTAAATGAGAATTATCGAAAAATAACTTAGCAGAAATTACAAATTTAAAAGAGAACTGTTTTTAGCAAATTGAAATCAGGTTCATAAGATGCATCTTTACTTGTGAAATAAGACTCATAAATGTATGCTTCTTTATTTCTGTTTTAAATTAAAAACATTCATAAACATCATTTAGTAATGGAAACATTTTCACTTGACTAATTGTTTTGTTTGTGCATGTAATGCAAATCTATTTGTAAACAAACATCTTCTTTTGCTACAAAATACTTTTTTAATTACTTATATCAATGTAACCTATACTTGAATAAAATAAATACAATCAGTTGTGGCTACCATTTGTTTACCATTGTCATTTTTTTTATTGGTAGAATTATTACAGAATAAATTCCAGTCAACAAAATACATCCCTTATTTGAGAGAGCATGCCATTCAACTAGCACACATAAGGAAAAGTCTCACTTGGATTACATGGAATTTCCAGCACTTAACCATTTAAAAAATTACAGTTAATGTATTGGCTAAGACACAAAAAAAAAAAAAAAAAAAAAGAACTAACTATTTTTGAACATTTTTTTTATGCTTCACATATAATTTATTTGCATGTAACTATTTCTCCTAACAAAATAACTTGATTTGTACTTCATGAACTCATATGCTACACACTGCATTGATATAAATTCATAACATCTTTGTAATATTATGCTTGTATCTGAAAAATCATGCTGCAAAATTTTATTTGAATATAAAAAATAATTAATACAGTACAAAGTCCAAAATCCGGAATGATCTAAAATCTACACCTCAAAAACCACTAGCATTTTTTTTTTTTTGGTAGGCTTTATGCATACGCATTTGATCCCCCCCCCCTCCATGCATAATAAAACATCTGGAGAGTTTCGATTCCTAATTTCACTTTGACACTAAATAAAATACCTTGTTATTGAAGAAACAATCATTTTAACATAAATTTGTATGATCAGTAATTTGGCTCCGTTGCTGCATATATGCTTAACACACATCTCAAAACAAAACATTTCCCATAGATACATCGTTGATCTGACGCCAACCTGGTGAAGCATTATTTATTATACTTTTTTTTTCATTACGCATGTTTATCAAAACATGACAACTTGAGTAATGACTCATGAATTGCCTGAACAATTTTTTTATGTCAGTAATTGAGTAATAAAGGAGTATGGTAACCTTTTATGTTGATATTACGCTCGTCGACGATTACAGATTTAAGTTAAATGCGCTAAAAAATGTTGACGAGGAAAATTTTACCAAAACTTTCTTTCCGTATGCTAAAATAGATTTTGCTGATGATACTCATAAACCCAAAGATTATATTTAGTGCTATTTGAATTAAGAACAACTGATTTGTTATTCACATAAACCCATAACCAGTGCCACAGCTCGTATGGCTGTACAGAGTTGCAGAATTCAGGATCCACAGAGACTGGATCAAGCAGTAAGATACCTAGCACCAGCCCTCAATAAGTATATGTGGGAATTTATTTATTCAGAACTCTGAGAAGCCTTACGCATGTGCAAGAAATAGACATAATTATAATAACTAAATATATTCAGGCTTAATTGTCTCAGTGCACGATAGAAGCAAGATAAAATTGAACGGAACAACTTGTTAGTCACCAAGCTCAGTGCATAGCTAAATATGTATAGTTAAAGATAATTTAAATTTGATGATGATAGTGGCTAATTTTAAAGGTTTTTCAGATATCACAAAACAAAGGTAAAATTTTCCAATTAACAGATTTTGTAAAGAAATGTGGAGAAAATAAACGAAGATGATATAAAAGAAGTTTTTCATTGTGATGACAATGCTTCTCAATCATCAAACAATTAATGAATGGCAAAATCTGTATAGTCAAAAATCTTTAATCCGGACTCGTCGGGACTTCAGCTGTTCCGGATTATCAATTTTTCCGGATTGTAGATCATCAGTTTAAATCTGGTAAGATGGCATGCAGAAATTATAAAATAAAAAATATGAAACCGTAATTCCTGAAATAAAGAGCAATTATGATCTAAAGGATATGAAATTTAAAAAGAAAAAAAAAGAAAAAAAAAAAAAAGTTAATATTTATTTGCTTACTTTTTATTTGTTTAAACATTTCTTTCAATGTGCGCATGCGTAAAGCATACATTATGCATAGTCGACATTAGAAAATTGCAACCAGAAAACTATTTGATGTGTATTCGTGATATTTATAATGACGAGGAATTTGATTTAAATCATATCAAAAATGCAGTACATCGAGATTATATACTACATTTAGTAAGGAATTATAAGCCGAATAAAATAAAAACATCTGCCCTGAAGATAAGGATAGTGCTGACAGATTAACTTCCAGTTCATTGGGCGCTGCAATACTTAATTTCGGAAAAAATACTTAAGTTTGTTTTACCTTACTTGACTACTTCACAAAACTGGTTAATTAAAATAATAATGTTATATATTCAAGATTTTGCTAAACCTTATATATTCAGCATTCTGCTAAGCATATTCCAGTACTTACATATTATCCTATCAATCATGGAACTGTTACCAAGCAACACAATTTAGCACCAGTTATAGATAAGTGTAATGTAATGACACACTGATCACAACTGCATTTTCATTTGATGATTTTTTAATAAGTCATGTCTGATTCAATAAGCCTGATTGATTTTCAATAAGCCACGTTTTGTTTTTATGAATAAAGATATAAATTAATCATTATTCATGTATTTTTCTTGCATTCAAAATAAAATGATTAAAACTTGAGACCTGCCTTCTAAAGAACAGTAAACAGCAGACTATTTTCAAGATTATGATATCTTACAATGAAAAAAATATATGTATTAATGAACAGGATATGGTCAGCTGAATATGGTTGACAAAACACTAATATAGATTGGAAAATTACCTACAGGAAGTTGTACCTGCGGCATTCTAAACAGAGCTTTCTGTAAAATCGAAGTACCTAACATAACAGTAAAAATCCATGAAAGCCCTTTTTACAAAGCACAAGAATGAAGCAGGTCGAATACTAATTGTATGTTAAATACAGAGGTATCAGTTCCTAGAGATATCTGTAAAAATAGTTGGTGCAACTCTGACAAAATCTCAACTAACTTTCATGGTTTGATGGTAGCTAACTTTCATAGTTGAAGGGATAATATGCAAGTACCCATATTCCTTATAAAAAAAGATAGAAATATAAAGTTTCAAAAAATTAAATAAAGCAAAAATTTACTTACTACACAGGTGCAACAAACTGTAATAAATCATGAGTAGTCATTGCAGCTGGAACAGCTAAAATACACAACATTTCACTTCTTTCAGCTTCTTCAGCAAGTGTTGTCCTCTGACTGAAAGTATTGCCAATTATAAAAGCTTCTTTTACATACAAACACTTGCAAAATTATTAATCTTTAATCATATTTACTTTTATACATACTAAAAGAAGTAACCAAATAATTGTCTGGTTTTGAAAGTTTTTAAATTGGGAAAAAAAAACTTTGTCACAGTACTAAATCTCTTTTTATGCTATATCTATATAAGACCAACACAGTAAGTATGCTTCATATATCATCCACTTTTCATATATCATCCACTTTAATAATCCTCATTAAAAGTTTTATAATGCTTTTAGAATGAAAGCATCTAATTGAAAATTCTATTAAAATTCCAATGTGAAAAAATATGTTCAATTAAACTAAAGCTGAATTTTTATACAGGTTCTGAAAACTGATGAACTTCAAAAGACTAATGAAATAATAATTCAGGCAGAAAATACAGTCACAGTGTGAAACTTCAAAACATAGTCAAACCAATAAACCTATAAAACAAAAAATAAAACAATGAGAACTACAATTAAAAAAATCACCAACAGCTCTTTCAACAATTTTGAGTAAACTGTTTTCAGTCGTTACTAAAATGAAATATTCATTCGTCAGCAGATGAAAAAAATAGCATACCGTTGCAGCAGCATCTCAATTTAATTTTATTTTCAGTTTTTATTGCTTTATTTCTTGATTTTATTTTATCTGTATACTATTAACCATCCAGCATGCACGCTTGGCAATTTTACATGAGCACGTACGCGTAGTATTTTTTACGACATCCGTTATTTTACCGTTTTTGGCACGAAAAACGACAGAAATGAGTGAATATTGATAATAAATTTGTTAAGAAATAAAATATTAATCTTATTATTGCAAAACACAAATGAATCACATTCAAATATAAATAAATTACTTTTAAGTTTTAAAGTTAGTGAGATGGAAATGCAATGATGTACTTCATTATAGAACATTTTTAATTTATTATTTAATAATTATATTTTAAAATCGAAGCTAATTTTAATATTCATCAAAGGCAAGTACAGACAAATAAAAAAAGAAAACACCTCGGTAGGAAAAAAAGTAAGTTTAGCATTACTTACTTCTGCAAGGAAATTTACTTCTTACTGGTTACAAAAATGCACTTTAAACTAACTTTTATTTCTAAAAAATAGAAATAAAAGAAAATGAGGAATGGAAATCGCTATTGTTCCCCCATCCAAAGGTTTCCTTGTCTTCCTTTTCTTCATCAGATAATTCTTGAAAAATGCAAGCAAAATCAGCTGGTTGCACATACGTTTTTGCCATGAAAACTGATATAAAATTTACAGAGCCAAATGTATTCAAATTAAAACAATACACAGCAATCAATAACACAAAATTACAAAATATTTGAAAAAAAATTTCTTTTCCAAATTTTCACTCACGAACACACACGTGTCGTAACTTTTACAAAAAAGCTGGGACGTAGCACAAATGCCCAGTAAAAAAAAAGTCAAATGACTTCCTGTTGGCCCATTCCATGATGTGGAGAAGGGTGGAAAGGAGGAACAGAAATGACATTCAGACATCTCAGCTTCGATATGCGATAAATGTGCATTAGAAACTGAATTTGTTGTAAATTTTGTGCACATACGCGCGTGCTGGAAGGTTAAAGGCCAATTGTGCTTTTTGGTTCAGAACAGCCAACAGTGAAAAAACAGTCAATCAAAATGTATCACAAGATATTGCAGCTTTTCTGAACAAACTTGTTTCAAGAAATTCATGGTGTAGTGAACTAAAAAAAAAGTTAAGGTCTTAGCTGTTGACATGGATCTTGCAAGTGATTATGGAATTAAGTATCAAAATAAACATTTACAAACTCTTACAGTTATAAGTTCCGAGATCTCCAACTGCCAAGAAGTTATGCAAGATTGATCATATTTATATGAAAGACATTTTTTCAACTAAGGCCTTTCAATATCTTTTCACAATATCTTTTTAAATTACATACATTTTCAGCTTTACACAAACATAATGTTTTTCTACCCTTGCACACAAAGACATTTCAAATCATGTCAGTAGTAGTTGTATTTCATATCATGTGATAAAAATATTTAAGTAGATCAAGGCCGCAAAATAAAATCTGCTATTAATTTCCTGACCATATAAAATGAGACACTGGCAGAGATCCATTGGCAGATTAGCTGTCCAAATGTCATGAGTGATGGCAAAGTTCATAAATGAGTGAAAGTGTTCAAAGAAGAGTGACAGAAATTGCATGATAAACCTTACTCAGATTGGCATGCTAAATTAACCCTCTGAGCGTTATGACCGGCTTTATCCGGTCATCAGAACTTTTGCTACTTGACATATATTAGCTTATAATTTAAGATATTTTGCTTTCTTAAATAATGCAAATATCAACTTAATGAATGTAAGTTTGTGAAAATACAGACTAAAATAAGTAATTAATGTTTAAATACCGGTCTTCATGATGGATAAAAAATCCTTTAATGCTCAGAGAGTTAAAAACCATACTCGGATTTCACCTTGAGCATGTCGTAGACGTTAAAATTTGTGTATATAGCTAATACCTGTGTTAGAGCAACATTCACTTTACTATCTCACCACCAGATGGCTACACTATGCAGGAAGCAGTCTGTTCACAGTTTTGAATATGGTTTGCCCGCTAGCATGAAATTGTGGGAAATAATAATAATAAATTATAAAATAATGATTAATTAGAAAGGAAAAATACTGGTTGATCATAGATATTGCAAACTGATTTTTTAAAGTGTTTTTTGTAATTTTGTTATTGTTTATTTGATTGCCTAAGTTCCTAATTTTTCTCTTGTGTTTTTTTTCAACTGCAATTCAACTGTAACCTGATGTACTGATAACCATGTGCTCGACCGGCAGTGGAAATAGAGTGTGTGTTTTGTTCACGTACTGTCTTTGATGAAATTATTATTATTCAAATGGGCTAAGTAATATATTATTTTTTTTTATTCTCAATCCGTGGACATGTGAGCAAATGACGTGATATGCCCAAACATATTATTTTGCATAGCACTTGTGGGAAAAGCTGATATCTTCCAAAATGAGCTGAACGCGTGTAACTATATGTGGTGACCTTAGGACTCTCTTCTGGAACATTTCTTTCATCATGCCTGACGTACAGCCTTCCATGGTCGAGGATAAGGCCGAGGCTAACAGAGTTAGCGTAAAGATACCTCCTTTCTGGGTTGACAAACCAGAAATCTGGTTCTACCAAGTTGAAGCCCAGTTCGCCATTAGCGGAATAACCAGCGAGGAGACGAAGTTCAATTACCTCGTGGCCCAGCTCGAACCACGATTTATTGAAAATATTTGGGACATAATAAAGGATGCCGGAACCAATAAATATTCTGCTGCTAAAGCGCGTTTGATGCAGACGTTTAAAGAAAGTGAAAATCTCAAAATCAAACGTCTCCTTACGGGGTTAGAACTGGGTGATATGAAACCCAGCCAACTACTGCGCAGAATGAGATCGCTCGGTGACACGGATGATATTTCCGACAAAGTGCTACGAACTCTTTGGCTTGAAAAAATGCCCGATGCCGTGAAACATGTGCTGATTGTAAGTGATGAGAACTTGGAAAAATTAGCTACGATGGCAGACAAAATATTAGAAATGCAACCACGAGCGGAACTTGCCAGTGTTAACAAGAATACCGTTCCTGTGGACGAGCTGTTAAATAAGATTTCTGCTTTAGAACTTCAAATAGCGAATATGACTGCCCGTAACTCCCGATCACGATATCGGAGTCCCAGTGGAAATCGCAGTACGAGTCGCAACAGATCTAGGAAAAGGTTCAACCCAAATGGTAAATACTGCTATTACCACTTCAAGTTTGGCGAGAAGTGTGCTTCCCAGAAAAGTGCAAAGAACCTTGCAGCTGGAAACAATCGGAAAACATGAACCAGCAGTAGAATCGGCGGCAAGTCCTGCTGCAATGAGTCCCGATTGCCGCAAATTCCGATTATTTGTGAAGGACAGAAAAACGGGTTTACGGTTTTTAGTAGATAGCGGTGCTGACGTATCTCTCATTCCAGCAAATTTAAAAGCTGAAAAACCTTGCTCCTACACATTGTACGCAGCTAATGGAACTGAAATTCCAACTTTTGGATTCAAAACTTTAACTCTCGATCTAGGACTACGACGGCAGTTCCAGTGGCCTTTTGTGGTAGCCAAGGTAAGTAAAGGAATTATTGGTGCTGACTTTTTAAATAGATTTCACCTTCTGATTGATATTCACAAAAGAAAATTGATTGATGGTATTACCCAGTTATATGTCAACAGTGATATTTTGTCTATAACTGATGAGCACTGCATTAGCACTTTTGATCAGTCTTCAGAATCTTCTGCTTTACTTCAATTATATCCGGATACCACAAAACCTAATATTTTGAGTACCTCTGTTAAGCATGGTGTCCACCATTACATTACTTCCACCATTACATTACTACCAAAGGACCACCTGTTCACTCTCGTGCACGACAACTAGATCCTGCAAAATTGGCATTAGCCAAGCAGGAATTCCAATTTATGTTGGACAATAATATAATTCGACCATCAAAATCTCAGTGGGCTAGTCCACTGCACCTAGTTAACAAGAAAGATGGCACGCTACATCCCTGTGGTGATTATCGGCGATTAAACGAGCAAACTATTCCTGATTGATATCCCATCCCTCGAATAGAGGATTTCAACCTGATCTTGCAAAATAAAGTTATCTTTTCTAAAATTGATCTTGTCAAGGCTTATTATCAAATACCTATTGCGGAAGAAGATAAGCCCAAAACTGCCATCATTACACCATTTGGTTTATATGAATTCAATGTTATGAGTTTTGGCCTACGAAATGCCCCATCTACATTTCAACGTTTTATAAATGAGGTTTTTCATGGCCTGAACTTTTTATTTCCGTATTTAGATGATGTGCTAGTGGCTTCCTCATCAAAAGAAGAACACAAAGAGCACCTTAAGTTAGTTTTTGAGAGGC